TTTTTTTTTTTTTTTTTTTTTGTCCCTTGTGAAAAAATGAAAAATAAGAACAAATATGATTATCTGCTGAAGTTGTTACTGGTTGGCGATTCCAGCGTAGGTAGGTTGTCGTCCCCGTCCTGACCGTTTCTGGGTGGCCACGCAGCTGCCTACCACTGAACCGCTTCACCACTGCACCGCTTCACCACTGCACCGCTTCCTCATCACTGCCCCATCACTTCCGTCTCTCCCGCCCCCGCGCAGGCAAAAGCAGCATATTGTGCAGATACTCCGACAACCAGTTTGAGGAGAAGGTCCTGTCCACCATAGGTAAAAGAGGATCCCCCCCCCGTGAGGGGCGCGCCCATATTTATACACGGTGTGTATAGCGGCCCCTGCATTCGCCACACCAGCCCCACGTTACCTATTTGCGTGCTTATGTATTACGCCACTTATTTGCGTGCTTATGTATTACGCCACTTATTTGCGTGCTTATGTATTACGCCACTTATTTGCGTGCTTATGTATTACGCCACTTATTTGCTTGTTTGTTATATGTCGCCCCTCATATAGGCATCGACTTCAAAGTGAAGTACCTCAAAATAGACAATAAGACGATCAAGGTGGGCATTTGGGACACGGCTGGGCAGGAGAGGTTCCGGACCCTGACGTCTGCGTATTATAGAAACGCGCACGCGATCATCCTGGTGTAGTAAGTGGTTGAGCGGCCTAACGATACGAAGCTGACTGAGCGGGCTGAGTGGCCTAACGATGCGAAGCGGCCCATCATGAGTTAACTTGCCTCACCCCTGTGACCGGCCAACTGCTTATAACATGTATAATTTTTTTAACTTTTTTTTGCCCCCCGCAGCGACTGCACCGTGAGGGAGTCCTTCGAGAACCTGGACGTGTGGATTCACGAAATCGATAAATATTCTACAAACAAGAATGCCATTAAGATGTTGGTGGCGAATAAGATCGACAAAGCTAATCACGAAGTGACGAAAGATGAGGGGAAGAATTTCGCCTTCGAGAATAATATGTTGTTTTGTGAGACCAGCGCCAAGAATGATATTAATATAACCTACTGCTTTGAAGAGTTAATTCAGCAGATTTTAAATAACCCCTCTTTGTTAGAACTCAGCGTCGTCACCAAAAATTTGAAGCTAAGCAAGAAGGAGGAAAATCGAGCCAACTGCGTTTGTTAAGGCCACAGCGGAGGGAGCGTGTCCCTGTGGAGAGCAGGGGCCGGGGGGAAAAAAAAAGAAAGTGTTAGCCAATGCGTCACATATCGACAACGCGTCCACCTATTCATTACTGTTCATCTTGTCCTTATCTCTTTATCGCTATCTGTATCCCTATCCCTCTCTTCCCCACCACAAGCATATACAAAACACCCTTTGCACATTGGTTTGCCCTATATGTGTATGTATATATATTCACGCGTACGTGAAAAAAAAAAATGCCTCTGATTTATGAGCACCTGCTCAATTTTTGTATGGGTTTTATATGACCGCTCTCCTTGGGTGAAATCTCTCTCTCTCTCGCCCCACTCTACTGCGGACACAAGTGTACAGCACCCTCTCTCTCCCCCTGTGTGCGTGTACCCGTTCCCTTCTTTTAAATGCATAAATAAAAAAAAAAAAAAAAAAGTGACCGTTTTTCCCCCTTTTTACCCTTCAAAGCTATATCTCTTTTCCCCTCCCCCCCCCTGGACGTAGGTCTTCCGTCTGCCCCCGCCTGTGGAGCGGCCTCCCCGTTTGCGCGTCTTAACTGATTTTATCTACTGCTTGGCAGCGTGACTGATTTAGCGGCGCGACTGCTAACCCGCGCGACTGCCAACCCGCGTGACTGCTTCCGAACCGACCATTTCTTCTCAACAACGTGCTCATTATTCCTTTAATGTATAAAAAGTAAATCATATATTTTTTTCCCCTTGTAGTGAATAATCCCCCTTTTTCTTGCACATGTGTTTTTTTTTGTAATTTTAATATAAAGCCCCCCGATTTATAATATAGTACCTTCATGTTTATACGTAATATATATATATATGTTTTTTCCCCTTGTCCACGGTACCGTCGCCACTGCTTTTTTTTTTTTTTTTTTTTGCAAGTGTGGGTCGAAGTGCCGTTGACGCCTCTCATACACCTTTTTTAAGAGCACACACGTCTCAAAAATAATTGTGACTCCAACTTTTTGCTAGCGTTCTCTGGTCGTTTTAGCGCCGTTTGATGGTTTTTACACATCATTTAAAGTCGTATTTTTTTTTTTTTTTTAATTCCATTCCAAATGGATGTATTTTATTTATACTTCCGTTGTTTTTTGTCCCTTTAGTTGGGCTTTTTTTTTTTGGGCAACGATCCGATGTACAATCGAGCAGAAAGGATTAAAAGGGCGAGGAGACTCTCCTTTTGTTGTTGAGATTGTTCTTTTCTCCGCGTGTCGACTCGTGTATCACTAAATTAACTAGCTAAAAAAAAAAATGTTCGTTGCAAACGCGTTTTGTGAATAATCACATGTACATTTTTTTTTTTTTTTTTTTTTTTTTTTTTTAGCTAGTTAATTTGGACGGACATATTTTGCATATTAGCTAGCACAGCACATAGGGGGGGATATGTTCTCCCCAAAGGAACAAAAGCACACAACGGTGTTGAAAGGACTCCTGGACGGATGGCGATCTCCAAACCTTCGCCCAATCGTCACACCTGTGCAGTTGCCACGAAGGCGATGGATATATATCCCCTCCCCACATGGCATATCATTACGTGACGTTCATACATGTTGATGTGAAAACAGGAGGGCGACTTCAATGGTAGGGCGCCTCTCCCACAGTGTTGTGCCCGCCGTCCATGTCGACAGGATGAGGGGGATGCCGCTTGGCCAAATTATTAAAAAGAACTCGCCCAGCCAGGCACTCATCAAAAGTGCAATCCATCACGACAGCAGCTGCTGTGCATGTAAAAGAAGATTCTCCTTTTTTCGAAGCAAACTTTGGAGCCCAACTGAAAATATTATATATAGAAAAAACCTTGACATCAGTTGCAAAAGCCATGTGTTCTTCTACACCGTTCTGAATGTAGATCGGTACAGCCACTTCCTACCTTACGTCACGGTAAGGGGCTATCCCATGTGTGCGTGACAAAACGCATGAAGAGTTCATGATGGAGGCAACCCTTTTTATCGTGTGTAACTTTCCCCCCTCTCCCCCACCTCTATCACAGAAAAGCAAAATAACAGACAAGGCGGAGGAGCACTTCAAGGCCGTCCTCCAAATTGAGAATCTCCTGTTCAAGGAATCATATGACTCCGTCATTCGGTTCAAGGTGCCTACCACCGTCAAGGTTAGGGGGTTGTGTAAAACGTGCATCAGGGGTGGGATACTCCTAGAGGAATTTTCTATTGGAGCGGTGGGCAGATTTGATGCACCTCGTAACGACGTCTCCATTAAATTTGCTGTCCTTTTTTTTTTTTTTTTTT